TAGTGATCATGGGCTTGGAGGCCCATATGTGTTAATGATTGGCCCAACAATACCCTTAGAGCTTCTTCTTGAGTTTTTTGGCAGAAGTTGGTTAGAGATTCGCTGTTAGTTTTGGGGGGGGGGGGGGAGAAAGTAACCAACTCAAGAAATTTTTTATGTGAAGATTGAGTTTAACCGCAATCACAGAGCATACTAGGATCTTCCTTCAGTGGTGGAAGAAAGAGAAAGAAAGAAGTGTCGAGTGGTGTGACTCGTGTGAGTGATCGTGCAAATGATTTGGTATTTATATATTTTTTGAGGAAGGAAATAGTTCACAACGCAGTGGAGCAAACCATGCGAGATAAGGATCTTTCCTTCTATTGATGATTGTCTGCTCTTCTCACCAGCAATTTGTGTCGCTAGAAGCGAGCCAATCAGCGATCAGGTCGCGAATAGCTTCTAGACCATGCACTCCAGTGGAGATCCTTGTCATCCAGTCCACACCAATCGTGTTGCTCCCGCACAAACTAAATAGATCCCTTTTATTTTAGGCGAACTAGTTTTTGTTCGCTTGTTTTTTTTTTAAACATATCTTGCTTATATCTAGCACGAATTACAAGTTAGTTCGCATTAGAATCAAACAAATCATTCCAAACTTTAGTATTTTGCAAATTTTAATGCAAAAGTTGTATGGCTAGAATTTCCTTTTGTAACTTATGCATTTTGGAAAGAAATCCACCAACGCGCAATTACTAATAAGTTGGAAGAAATGTGGTTAATAACTTAATATTTGAAATTGGAACTGACTTGAATTTATATCTAAGGAGAGTATAAATTTAAACATGTTGAATGTAAAATCTCGTTTAACTTAATTTATTAATTTAATTTAATTTGAAGTAAAGTATAAAATGGGAAAAAGGAGATAAAGAATTGCGGGAAAATGTGTGTGTGTAATCTCGACCCCCAAGGAAACTCAAAGGGGACTTTTGTGTGTTGTTTTTACTTGCTTGCTCACCTCAGAGGTGCCTGCCACTGACTCTGGCAAAAAGGCGTAATTCCCAACTCAACTCTCATGGAGTTCTCCAAACTCCTCTCTCTCATCTCAGGTAACAATCTTGTCCTCTTTTTCTCTTCGACCCACCTCGCACAATGCTGCATTTTTCAATGCGCAGACGATAAAATTCTCAATCTCTAGCTCAGCTGGACGATCCATGTCGCCGTCTGTTCATTACTTTCCCTTGTGATTCTGCCGTCCTTTTCTTGATATTATCGTCTCCGTCTTCCTCCTTCTCCCTCTGAATTAGTGCTGTAGAATAGACTGAATGCAGATGGCCTTAAACAAACAGAAACTCGACGTTATATCAGTCTCAGACTCTCAGTGACCTTTTTCTGTCATTTGTTGGTTTTGCCTGTTTCACAGATTGAGTGACGCGTCGGAGAAGCGTACTTCACGTTGCTTTTGTGAGAATGATGTCTCTTTAATGTGCAAGAAGTTGAGGTGATATTCTCGTTTGAAAGGCAGGCGAGATGTCATTTTCCAGGTGGTAGCTTTGGCAATTTTGAGGTGGTTGGTTGGTTTACTACTGTCGAAAGAGAGCGTGAAGTTGGATATGATGCCAATCCGTTGGAGAATCGCGTCTTTCCTTTAGGGTTTATATGACAAGGGACTAGGGTGTTGAGTTCTAGACGGGAATGCAATACTTATTGGTTTGCCTCTGGAATTTATGCATACTGATATTGAAGAGAACTAAAAACATTTAGACATTTGGGTTGTGTTTCCTTCAAAGCTCAGCCCTTTTCTGACGTTGATCATCTTCCTTTAGGAATCTACAGCTGAGATTTTTTCTCTGTGGGTTCCGAATTCAGTTCACAAATTTCCATCCATGTCTGAGAAAGCTAAGCCTCCATCCAGGCTTCTGTTCTACCTAATCACTCTTTCTTTGTTCCTTTTGATTCTCTCTTCACTATCCCTTCGACAGTTTGGCGATGTCTCGTTGCTTCCTGGTTCTGTTTTCAGGTTGATTCTTGCCAATGACACCTCAATTAATGTGAGACCCAATGTCCAAAGGGACTCAAAGATCAAAACGATCCCCTTCCTATCTCCCCTGAGCTCAAAGACACAATCCCCTAACTCTGGCCCTAGCAGTGAAGGAGCAATCTGTCCGCCTTCTCGGTCCTTGAGTTGTGACAAAAACCGAGCTGTTCTGAAGGTATATATGTATGATCTGCCTCCTGAATTTCACTTCGGATTACTTGGTTGGAAGGGAAATGGCAATGAAACATGGCCTACTGTTAATGACCCTAGACACATCCCTCCTTATCCTGGTGGCTTGACTTTGCAGCATAGTATGGAGTTTTGGCTGACACTTGATCTTCTGGCATCTAATGCGCCAAGTGTTGTCAAAGCTTGCAGTGCAGTTAGGGTAGAGAATTCTAGTGAAGCAGACATATTCTTTGTGCCGTTTTTCTCATCTCTCAGTTACAATCGGTATTCCAAGCCTTTGGGAAAAGAGAAACTTGTACTCAACAGAATTCTACAGGAGAAATTGGTGCAGTATTTGTTGGGCCAGGATCTATGGAAGCGGCATGGGGGAAAGGATCATTTGATTGTGGCGCATCATCCAAATAGCATGCTGCACTCTAGGAAAAAGTTGGCCTCTGCCATGTTTGTGCTTGCTGATTTCGGGAGGTATCCGGCTAAAGTTGCAAACATTGAGAAGGATATAATAGCTCCCTACAAGCATGTTGTTAGGAGCATTCCAAATGATCAGTCAGCAAAGTTTGATCAGCGTTCTATACTAGCTTATTTCAAAGGGGCTATTTACAGAAAGGATGTAAGTATCTGCAGTCATTCCTTCTATACTATTAATATGCCTCGATTACTATGGTCTTCTACCAACTCTAGAGGTAACTGCTGTTTGTTTAAACTTAATATTCCATATCCATAGATTGAGGTAGTTTCTATCCAAGTGTTGGAGTGGGGGATTAAAGAACCTCACTAGCAAGCCAGATTCACTTATGTTTGGTGCTGCTGTTCTCTATGGTTTGATAATATAGTAATCTGACCCTAGTAGTGATACGTAGGCACTAGCGTGATCTTTTTCAATCCTTTCGACCAATTTTCTTCTTTGTTGCATGCATTATTATCTGGAGACTTGATAGTAGACAGAATTCGTGCAATTTTCATGGCAGTATGCATTATGAAAAAAAAAATACACTAGTATCAGCCCTGTTGTCCAAATTATAATCTGTATGTACAAACTGTTTTCTTCTTACACCAATAAAGCACATTTATGAAGTCCATATTTGGTTGTGCGCTAAAGTACATATTATTCAGTATCTCTTTCCTTTTGGGTAGGAGTTGAGGGGGAGAGGGTACGGTTCACTGGTTTGAGAACTTCTAATCTTTATAACAGGCAGTCACATGCACATACATTTTTCTCTAAACTGTAGTTTGACAGAAGGGTTAGGACTAAAACAGTTCAATGAATTAAATTACTCTACTTAAAGCAATAGTATACTAATATGCACTCTACTTTCCTTTCTTAAGGGAGGAACTATTCGCCAGGAACTCTACTATCTGCTAAAAGATGAGAAAGATGTTCACTTTACATTTGGGTCCTACGGCAAGAATGGGGTCAACAAGGCCAATGCAGGGATGGCTGCATCTAAGTTCTGCTTGCATATTGCCGGTGATACACCTTCCTCTAATCGTCTCTTTGACATTGTTGCAACTCACTGTGTTCCTGTGATAATAAGCGACGAGATTGAACTTCCATTCGAAGACGTGCTGGACTACTCAGACTTCTGTGTCTTTGTCCATGCATCTGATGCTATCAAACCAGGTTACTTACTGAAGCTTCTCCGTGGGATTGACCGAGATGAGTGGACCAAGATGTGGGTTAGATTACAAGAAGTCGCCCCCCACTTTGAGTACAATTACCCTTCCAAGCCTGATGATGCTGTGGATATGATATGGAAGGCAGTAAGGCGAAAGGTGTCTGCAGTTCGGTTGGAGCTAAACAGGAAGAAGAGATACTATCGGTCTCAACCAACCAGCTAACTAAACTGAACATACAGTTTGCAGGTAGACATGATACCAAAAATTATCCCTCATTTTTGTTCTCTCATGTAAAGGGCATCTGATGTTTGCAGTCTTGCCAGGAGCTGTTTGTTTTGGGTTATCATACATAGATGTAGATCCAGAAAACATGTTGTTCTGGTCATGAACAGTTGTTATACACAGCGCTCTTGTTCACCAAGTGATTTTGATCATTCATTGAGCATGGTTTTCTTTCCCCTTTGGTCTTTATTATTTCCAAATGAAAATTAGGTGGAGGCCTTCAACCACTAACGCCTAACCGACACCAAAGGACTAATGATCAATGGGATGATCATTACAGTTGGAACTATCTTCTGGAGCTCTGGGTAGCCCCATTTGACAACTGTTGACATTATAGCCTAGGGTAGGCAACGGGAAACGGGTATTTGGGTATACCCAAATCCGTCCTGTTTTGTGAGGGTTACGGGTACCCAAATACCCGTTATATTTGTTGCGGGATGGGATTTGGGATCAAGAATCTCAACTTCGGATACCCGCGTGTTACCTGCTAATACCCGTTTGGGTAGGTTGGGTACCCGTATTATCCATTAGAATTATTAAATTCATCAGCCCAAATCTAAAACCCAGCCAAACCCAGTCACAGTCCAACCTATTTCCTAAACCTGACCAGGCCGCCAGGGGCCATACCCTCTCTCTTACCTCTCCCCTCACTTGGTCCTCGACGACCACTCTCCTCTCCAATTTATTCCTTGTCATCTTAATTTTGGGAGGCAACAGTGGACTGGAAACAATAGCTTAAAAAGGAAGGGGTCTGGGAAAGAGTTGCTATTCTCCTTCTTTGCGGGAATTAGCCTCTCCTTCGTGCGTGTTGTGTAGCTCAAAATCGGATTGGGATCTGGAATCATACCCCTTCGATTTGAATACGCTCGTGAGGAAGAGCCTGGAGTTTGGAAGAAGTATGGATCTTGCCATGGTAAATCAACATGAACAGGTGGATGAGATCATCATGGAAGCAGCAAAGGCTACACATGGGAAGAAGCTAAGGGCTCGTCGGTCTATGCAGGAAATGGAAGCACACCGTATAGGACCAGTACAGCCTACCCTGCAGGGGCCCAGGAGGTGCAGAAGCAGTAAGAAAGGGTGCGGAGGTGACATTTCTGGATCAGATGGGTACTAGCGTGATGGTATGGAATGTCAGGGGTTTGTGTGATGAGGCAAAGAGAGGTAGAATTAAGAACATTGTAGGTCGGAGGAAACCTAAAATTGTCGGCTTTGTCGAAACTAAATGGAGTAAGTGCATCGATGAATTGGTTCAGAGCGTTAGTGGTAGTAGAGAAATGGGATGGGCTGCTAAGGATGCCTCAGGATGCTCTGGAGGTATTGTGATTTATTGGGATAAACTCTTTGTCAGAGAGACTGCACGGGTGATTGGCTCTCATTTTCTTGCTGTGGAATTCCATGAAATAATTTCGACAAGATCTTGGTCTCTGGTGGTGGTGTACGGACCTCAAGAAAGAAGAGATAAGCTTCAGTTCCTCTCTGATCCGAAATCCTTTTGTTCTCAACTGGTGGTTCCCTACTGTCTGGTTGGAGATTTTAACCTCATCAGGGGGCATGATGACTACGTGGGAGTTAGGAGGAGTTCTGAGCTGATGAACGAATTTAATGACGTAATTGATTTTCTCTCTATTCTTGAGCTCCCCCTTGGAGGAAGTCGATATACGTGGAGCAATGGGGGGGCTAATCCATCCCTCTCTCGCATTGACAGGGCTTTTATCTCTTGTGAATTCGATCAGGTGTATCCAGATTGCATTCTTTCTGCTCTTGATAGGGTGGAATCTGATCATAACCCCTTACTGATTGTTTGGGGCGACATGACTAGAAGCAAAAGACCCTGGAAATTTGAGAACATGTGGTTGGAGGACAGTAACTTCTACAGAAGCTTGGAAGATTGGTGTAAGATTAGTGTTTTCGGGAAAGGGAATGTGTTCTTGTGGTCAAGGAGGTTGGCTGTTCTGAAGTGCAACATCAAAATCTGGAATAGGGAGGTCTTCGGGTGTGTTAACAAAAGGATTGATGCTCTCCTTAGCAACATAAAGAGGCTGGACGAATTGGAGGAAGCTTGCTCACTTGGGGATGAGGATCGTGCAGAGCGAGATAGTCTCAAGCTCGACTTAAGCAACGCGCTCAATCTTCTTGAAATATCTTGGAGGCAGAAATCCAAGGAGTTGTGGCTTAAACAAGGGGATGGTAACACAGGTTATTTTCATCGAGTGGCTAATTACTGCAGGAAACTAAATTATTTCAATCGCATTGTGATTAATGGTCAGACAGTTGAAGGGAGAAAGGACTTGGGAATGGGCATCTCTGACTATTATAAAGTGCTATTTACAAAATTTACCAGTGAGAGACCGTTTCCTAGGTTTCCTATGGTTGGCAGCATTGAGGACTGGGAAGTTTCAGCATTGATTAATCACTTCAATGAGAAGGAAATTTGGGATGCCATTGTCTCGTGTGATGGCTTCAAAGCACCTGGCCCTGATGGCTTCACTCTTGATTTCTATAAGAAGTGTTGGGTCTATATCAAGAAGGATATCCTGCTTGCTTTTGAAGAATTTCATCGTACAGGTTTTCTTCCTGACAGCATATCACACTCATTTATCTGCCTTACCCCTAAAGTGGATGTGGTTGAAAGTGTCCGGGATCTTCGGCCAATTTGCCTCATGAATAGTTTCAATAAAATCGTGAGCAAGGTTCTTATGAAGAGAATGAGATCGAATCTTCCGAGACTGGTCTCCCCTAACCAGCATGCTTCGGTTCTTGGTAGACATATTTCGGAAGCTACTCTTATTGCTAATGAACTTGTCGACAGCAGGAAAAAGAGCAGAAAACCGGGCCTTATTTTTAAACTTGACATCGAAAAGGCTTTCGACAACGTTAACTGGAGCTGCCTCTTCAAGGTTCTGACTTGCTGTAGTTTCCCAAAGAAATGGCAGCAGTGGATTAAGGGTGCGCTTTGTTCTCCTGTGACATCGATCCTGGTTAATGGTGAGGCTCATGGTTATTTCAAGCCTGAGAAAGGACTCCGTCAGGGGGATCCCTTATCCCCGGGTTTATTTGTGCTCGTTATGGATATTCTCTCACATATGTTAAATCGCCTTAAGGAGACAGGGGGTATTAAAGGGTTTCATATGGATGAGCTGTCGAGTAGAGGAGAAGTCACGCACCTCCTCTTTGCGGACGACTCTCTTGTGTTTTGCGATGCAAACGTCGACCAAGTGATTGCCGTCATTATTTGCATTCTGGGAGTAACAGGTTTAAGGATTAACCTCGACAAATCGATCATGTTTACGATCGGTGATGTCCCTAATCCTAGTTACTTTGCGGCAATCTTCAGGTGCAACTGGAGCCTCGACCCTTCCAAATATCTCGGGCTTCCTCTTGGTGAACGTCCTAACGCAGTATCGCTTTGGAATCCTGTGATCTAGAAATATAATAAGCGATTGCAAGGGTGGAAAACAAGGCATCTGTCACTTGGTGCTAGACTGACTCTCAACACTTCTACACTAAATAGCCTCCCTGTTTACCATTTCTCACTGTTTAGAGCGCCAAAGACTGTCATTGATATCATGGAAAAAATTCAAAAAAGATTCATTTGGAGCGGACCTGGTGACGAGGATAAGATGCATCTGGTGAAATGGGACTTGTGTAAAGCCCCCAAGAAGCAGGGGGTATTGGAGCCATTGATTTACGAAGTTTCAACAATGCTCTTCTAAGCAAGTGGTTATGGAGATATGCTACTGACAGATCCAGCTGGTGGAGGCAGCTTATCGAGATCAAATACCAGAGCTACGAATCTGAATGGAGAACTAAGAAGATCACTGATGGCTATTGTAGCTCTGTGTGGGCAAACATTACTAAGTCTAGTGATGCTTTTTGGGAGGGAGCTTGTTTGGAACCAGGTGCAGGTGTTGGCGTCTCCTTGTGGCACGACAAATGGATCCCTGAAGGCTGCCTAGCTGACTCTTTCCCCAGAGTTGCTGCTGCTGCTACCTATCCAAATGCTTTAATTCTTGAAGCTTTGACCTGGAAAGGTGAGAACATAGTGTGAGATATTCCTTTCACTGTTAATTTGAGGGGTGGGGCTGAGAGGCAGAGTTTGCTTTCCTGGATAGACTTTCTTCTAATTCTAATAGGATTCTTAATGGTCCTGGCCGTGTTGTGTGGCTACCTAATAATAGTGAAGTTTTCTCTGTGAGCTCAATGTACAAAATGCAGGTGGAGAACCGGTTCCCGGGAGTTGAAGGATTCGCTACTGAAGTTATGTGGAACAGTATTGTCCCTCCAAAAGTGTGTGGTTTCCTTTGGCTAGTGTGGCACAAGCGGATTTTGACTATCGACAATCTGAAGCGTAGAGGTTTAGCCCTGGCAAACAGGTGTGTCCTGTGCTGCCATGAAGAGGAGACGATCAACCACATTTTTATGGAATGCTCATTTGCGAATATCGTGTGGATTGAGGTGTCCAAGCTGATGGATAGAACTATTAGACCAGCCGGCGATCTGTCAGAAGTCATGAGTAGCTGGCCGCAAGGTGATAAGAACAATTTCATGGACTGCAGTTTGAGCTGCTTATTACATGTTGTTTGCTGGAATGTGTGGAACGAAAGGAATCGTAGGATCTTCCAACAGCTACAATGCAGCACCAAAGTTATCGCCCACAGGGTAGCGAGGTCTGTTCTTGATTGGAGTATGATTCGCGGCAAAGTCGATAAGGAGCAGGGTAAAAACTGGCTGAGATCTTGGTCCTCGTAGGCAGTCCGTGGACTCTCCTTGGATGGGGTTTCTCTGCTGTCATTATCGGCAAGCTGTGTTCTGCTGTTTTGGATGGCTGCGATGCTTCGGGTTTAGCTTGTGTGATCTGTTGTGGTAGTTTCTTAAGCGATTGGCTCTGTGCATCTTTGTGGTGCTTTTTCTGCTACTTTATGTTTTGTCTCTTTGTTTATCCTTTGTTTTTCTGGTTTCAGATTACCAATCACTTTCACTGCTTGTGAAGTGATGATCCCACCTTTGTATTCTTTTCCTTTCTCTTATTTAATAAAAGTTCATCATCCTCATAAAAAAAAAAAAGAAATCAACACAGACTTTCTATAATTGTTTCAGAACCTTCTTTGATAGATTAAAAACATGCAAACAGTACTGTATTACTCCCATTGTTGCAGAAGTAACAAGTTGTAATTTGTCCGCGTATGTGAGCTTTTTAGCTCTCCATAACTTGATGCGATTTGTTATCTTAGCTAGCAAAACTTAGCTTACCGATTCGTGGAGCGGGAGCGAGAACGCGAGAGCGTCAATTTCGTAAGAATTTATATAGAGAGCGTATAAAAAGCGTTAATATTATTTTTATATTTATTTAAGAAATTAATTATTATGATTCAGAAAAAAATCATTCATTTATCAATGCATGATAAGGCAGTTCAATTTTGCCAATCACTCAATTGTTTGACCGTGACTTACTGAAATTTATTAGTTTACTTTAAACTTTAAAGTTCAACCTGATTATTTTTTTTAACATAAAAACTAACAAAATAAAACTAAATTGACAGCCACAAAAACTATGCTGACTTATCCCTTCCACTCATCTCCTCCGTGTAAAATCTGCAAAGCCCCAATCGCCAATCTTGCTCCAACGGATTCCAACGCCATCCACCATAAAATTCTCAGATCGTCGGCGAGCTGCCATTTGTGAAAGCAGATGCTCTGATCTCCTTCAACTATATAAACGTCAACGGTTCGGGAACAGGGCTAGCCTAATCTTCGAGGAAACGATTGACGCCGCCACCATTAACCGCCCAGAACAGATCCTCCTCCATCTCGATCCAAAATCCTACACTCTGCAATCTGCATCAACACTACCGACCGCGTCAACAAATTATCAACCGACAACCATTGTTTCACCATTAACCACTCCTCTCAAAAATCAGCCGAAGCCGACGGTGAGTTACCCATGGATCTTGTGCTCCTGGAGAAAGGAAGAGCATCATCTTCATCGATTCCACCGGAAAAGTCGTCGATCAAGAATTCGCGAACTTAAATACAAAATCCGCGCTCTACAACAACAAAAGTCGCGTTTTTTTACGTTCTCCTTGAAATCCGCGTTTTGCCGCTCTAGAGCGGGATCTTGCGAATTATGTGACCTAAAGCAAAACTTCAAATTATGAAGAATTTAAAAGTAAAGAGAAATTATGCACATGAATTTGAGTCATGTAGAATCGAACTAGATTAATGATCGGGACAGTAGAACCGTTAAATCAGTTACGATAGCGGTTCGGTTCATTACTTGGACGGTTATTAATTAGCCAAACGATTTTTTACGGTTCAACATAAAACAGATGAACCAACACAGTTTAACTGGTCCACTAGTTCACTATTTTAACCAAAAAATTTACAAAACGCTTTAAAATATACTAAGATCATCAAATCATAATCATTAAGTTTATATATGCTTACTCTTCTCATTCCAACCTTGTTGTCGACTTTATGTTGTCTACTACCAACTAAAACCGTAATTTTTAATTTGAACTAAAAAATATGGTTTCTTTTGTGAGATAGTTGCAATGATTTATTAGATATTTTTGTGATGATATGAATTATAATTGTTTATGGTCAAATGTCAATGATAGCTTCATTCTTTAATTAGTGTAATATACAAATCTTATATGTAATATATCATGAACGGTTCTATCAACGGTTCACCAACGGTTTTGTAAAGATTAAGAGAAACTTGATATTATTTTTATAAAAATGATTGAGAGAAACTTGATATTACTTTCTTATTACGTGTGCAATTGAGACTTCTTTAACTTTGGTTACAAAAATGATTACCCAATTTAGCGACAATATGTTTGTGGTTTCATTTTTTTTTACCTATACTTAGCTGGAACGATACCATATTAAGTAAGAGTGGAGAATCCATAAATAAAGAATGATGAAAAATCTTGATCGAGTACGTAAAAAAAAAAAAATTACCAATAATGGGTTGGATAAAATACCTCTCATGAAACCTTAAACAACTTTCATTATGTAGATAACTACTATTGATAAAAAAAATTTCAATAAAAAATCACTGATAAAAAACTAAATATGATGTAATTTTTTTTGTAAATATAACAACTTTCACTATATAGATGGCTACTAAAAATGTAATTAATTAAATAATAAACTTAAAATATTCTAACTAACAGGTGGGATCAAAGCTAGTGTAATTTTTATTATATAAATGGCTACTAATAATGTAATTTATTAAATAATAAACCAAAAATATTCTAACTAACCGGTCGGATCAAAACCATGGTCCATGAAACCGTACCGTACCGGCGGTTCAATCACGAAATACCAGTATTAGAGGCTAAACTAGTAGACGGTATTTAACGGTCTAACGGTTGAACTGCGGTTAAACCACGGTTTTATCATAAAATATCATATCGCTGACTTTTCCGATACAATATCCGGTATGGTTTCATGGACAATGATCAAAACTAGTGTAATTAATAGGATTTTTGTAATTTTCCAAAGAAGAATAATTTTCCAAAAAAATAATTAATAAATATTTCTTTTGTCATAATTTGTAACCATGTTGGTTTGCAGCGGTTTTCTTCTTTGAGTCATCTCAACTCTCAAGGTCAAGGAGACTCAAAGGGCTCATTAGTTGGAAGCATTTGTTCTCTTCGAGATAGAAAATCGTCATCGGCATGGCACCCGGCGACCGGTTCTCTCCGATCGATGCTCATTCTCTCTGGCTAGTCAGCGAATCTGGCGATTACTCACCACCGTTCAGTGAGTGCGCCTTTGCTGGTGTACATCGCGGCAAATATACTCAAACTTGCTCAGCTCAGACAGAGGCGAAATTCCCTACTCGCACTAGAGTTCTCCAAACTCCTCCCTCTCAAGGTGCAATTTTTCCCTCGTTTTTCTTCAACCCACCTCGAACAATGCTGCATCTCACAATGCCCAGGCGATGAAATGCTCATTGTCTGGTTCAGCTGGATGATCAATGTTGTCTGTTCCTTGTTATTAATGTTTCCCCTTTCCTTGCGAATTAGAGCGCTATAGAATGATCCTTCCAGTGATAAAGACAGAATTCAAATGACATTTAACAACAAATGGACGTACGATCACTGATTATAATTCTTTCAATGTCTTTTTCTTTCTGTTCCGTAGATTGAGCTTATGCGTTGTCAAGTGGACTCCTGGTTCCTTCTGTAAGAGTGAAATTCCATGTTTCTTTTGTTAGGTTTGCATGATCGAGACTGGGTTTTAATATGCTGACCCAACTGCTGCAACTTTGTGCATTGATATTAAAGACAAGGATTTTGGGTTGTTTCCTTCAAAGATCAAGTTGTTCTGACCTTGATCATCCTTTAGGATTCTATGCTTTGATTCTTTCTCTTTGTCTTTGATACAAAAAAACCTGGAGTCATGCTGTGAGTTCCTTAATTCAGGAGTCAGGTGGTCTTCCTTCAAGCTTTTCCACTCATGTCTGAGAAACATAAGCTTCTTCTATTCATGATTCCCTTCTACCTAATCACACTCCCGTTGTTCCTTTTGATATTTTCTTCTCTACCTCTCCACCAGTTTAGTGAGCTCTCGGTGCTACCTCCTCTGCCCTCACAGACACAATTCCCTAATTTTGGCCCTAGCAGTGAAGGAACAATCTGTCCGCCATCTGGGGCCTTGACTTGTGACGAAAACCAAGCTGTTCTGAAGGTATATATGTATGATCTGCCTCCTGAATTTCACTTTGGATTACTAAAATGGAAGGGAAATGGCAATGAGACATGGCCTACTGTGAATGACCCCAGGCACATCTCGCCTTATCTTGGTGGCTTGTTCTTGCAGCATGGTATAGAGTATTGGTTGACACTTGATCTTCTAGCTTCTAATGTGCCAAGTGTTGTCAGATCTTGCAGTGCAGTTAGGGTGGGGAATTCTAGTGAAGCAGACATAATATTTGTGCCGTTTTTCTCATCTCTCAGTTACAATCTGTATCCCAGGCCTTTGGGAAAAGCGAAACATGCACTCGACCAAATTCTGCAGGAGAAATTGGTGCAGTATTTGTTCGGTCAGGATCTATGGAAGCGGCATGGGGGAAAGGATCATTTGATTGTGGCGCACCATCCAAATAGCATGGCTTACTCTAGGAAAAAGTTGGCCTCTGCCATGTTTGTGCTTGCAGATTTCGGGAGGTATCGGGCTAAAGTTGCAAACATTGAAAAGGATATAATAGCTCCTTACAAACATGTTGTTAGGAGCATTCCAAATGGTCAGTCAGCTCAGTTTGATCAGCGTTCTATACTAGCTTATTTCAAAGGGACTATTTACAGAAAGGATGTAAGTATCTGCAGGCTTTCCTTCTATGCTATTAATATGTCTTCCAGCAACACTAGAGGTGACTGCTGCTGTTGCATGTAAATATTCCACAGATTTAGCTAATTTCTGGCCAATGTAGTGATCAAATGTGGATAAATGAATTCGTTAGTAAGCCAGATTGGCTTCTATTTTGTCCTGATATTCTCTGCTATGTTTGGAATATTTCTCTTTGCTTTAATTGGAATGAGAATACCCTTGATATTCTTCCATTGTTCTGATATTCACTACATTTTTTAATAGTCTAATATTCTCTAAGAGAGTGGTGGTTGAGCTAAGATCACAACCTTGACATCCTTACTTCTCTTCCATTGTTCTTCATTTTCTGTTTATTTTTGCCACAAATAGTCCTAGACTTTGTTGTATAATTAAGCATGCTATCATTATCTTTCTCCTTTTGGGAAGGATATGGTGTATGATTTGAGGGGAGGGAGGGTTCAGTTGGATTGAGAACTTCACACACAGAGTAATATCTTATGTACTTTAAGCACATTGATGTTTACTCTGCTTGTCTTCTTAAGGGAGGAGCTATTCGCCAGGAACTGTATAATCTTCTAAAATATGAGGAAGATGTGCACTTCACATTTGGATCCTACGGGAAGGTTGGCATAAACAAGGCCAATGCAGGGATGGCCATATCAAAGTTCTGCCTACATATTGCTGGGGATACACCTGCTTCCAATCGCCTGTTTGATGCGATTGCCACTCGTTGTGTTCCTGTGATAATTAGTGACGAGATAGAGCTGCCGTTTGAAGACGTGCTTGACTATTCAGAGTTCTGTGTGTTTGTTCATGCATCTGATGCTATCAAACCGGGATACTTACTTAATCTTCTCCGTGGGATTGAGGTAGATGATTGGACCAAGATGTGGGTTAGGTTACAAGAAATTGCCCCCCACTTTGAATACCACTACCCTTCATGGCCTGATGATGCTGTGGATATGGTCTGGAAGGCTGTATCGAGAAAGGTGCCGTCTCTTCGGTTGCAACTTAACAGGAAGAATCGATACTCCAGGTCTCAACCAACAAGCTCACTGAGCACAACAGTCAGCAGGTAGACATGCTTCAAAAGCTTTAATCCTTTTTTTTTTCTTTGTTTCCTTGAGTGAAAGGGTATTTATTTTGTAATTTTTCCGGATCTTCTTGTTTCCGCCAATCATACTTATCATTTATACAAGGTCTTGTTGGCCAAGTGATTTGGATCATTCATTGAGTATCGTTGGTCTCCCCTTCCTGTCGTGCCATAACTTTTTTGTTCTGAATGTGAAGAAAAATCTAGATGGGTAGACATGGGAAATTGCTCCAACTTTTTTGCTGTGACAATACACATGAGAATCTGTGGAAGTTGAAGGAGGTCTTAATGTGGTAAATGGTAATGTGGGGCACTTTAGGCGGAGAATTGGGCATAATTGACTAATTGAGACTTGATAGCATAATTGACTAATTGAGAGAGAAGGTGCCACAGCCTTGATAGGAAGAAGAGAGACAGATTTAGAGGATTGGAGAGATTGAGGTTTTGGGGATACTATTCTATTTACTTCTTTGGTTAATCTGAATGAATACCCTTTATAGGAAAGACCTGAAAAACCTAATAATAGTCCTACTCAGCCTTAGTTGGCCTTACTCACCCTACAGTTAACATTAATCATTAATCATTAATAATAATATGAAAAGACCAGTTTTCTATCAAAGGATGGTTTATACACTCAGAGTTCTGGGTTTATTTACATTTAACATTTCCTTTGAAAGAGCAGAACTTTGGACTATGATTCAGAGAAGATAAAAGAAACTCAGGAGTTAGTGATTGAACTTGATAACAATACCTAAGTGCTGCTAGACAAGATCTTAAGCAGCGACGCATGTATTTATACTTCTACTTTGAGCTGTTAATTTCCATTCATTATGGATGAGGATGAATCTATTTTCCTTTACAGTTTCGTCTCAAGATTGTCAATCAGTTTTTTTTACCTTTGGTTGTCCTGGTTGTTGAAACTGTATTCATTCTAGTCTGGGAATTTTTATGGAGCATATTTACCTGTTCATGGAGCATTGCGTGAAAGCTTCTGCAAACTAGAATAACATACAGGTTGCCTGTAAACCTGTCCTTTCATGCTTTGTGGATTAAACAAGGTTGAAGTACAAACAAGGAAAAAACGAAAGTGAAGGAAAGCACTATCTATTGATTGTGTATGAGAGCGAGCATCATCTACACTTTGAATGTATGGGGGTGGGGGGCAACAAGTTGATTAAGACCTGATTCGTTCTATACAGTACAGAGATGATGCTGGCTTAGAGATATGGGTCTAGCCTAGGCTGCTGCAACTCTCTCTTGACAAAATGCTGCCTCTAAAACAAATGAAAAATATATCAAAATCCAGCAAACCATGTTTGAGGCTTCAACTTTGAGGAATCATGAGGTGCCTGTAACTTGCAGTTTCTTCATCTTGGTCTGTATATATATATTTTTTTTGTTTTGCATCAGCTACAGTTTCAAGCCGTCACGTCACTTCCTTTGCTGGCATCGGGGAGGAGAAATGAGAAAGAACAAAGAAAAGAATATTTGGTGCTCTTCCCTGGTTCAGAAAACCAGGCTACTGCCTGTTGTGAATGGGATCTGATCCTTTCTTAACCGTTCTTTTGTTGGACTGATTAGGATCAAACATCACTGAAGGTCCAGGCGCCAAGCTCAACGATGTGCCCTGCAACTCATCTACAGCCACGCCCTTCAGGAAGCGTGAATTTTGGTGCCCAGGATGCCGCCATCTCAGAGCAAGATCAATGCTTGTCAGGCCACACGCCGTCTCAGGCTGAAGAGCTAAATTCCCAATGCAGAATAGAAGAAGAATCACTCTGTGCCCCAATATACCCATGAAGCAATGATTATGATGATGATGATGATGGTGGTGGTGATGGTGATGATGATGATAAAACAACAGAATGGTGGAGTAGTTTAGGCTGAGAACTGAGAAGTGGCTGCTGCTATTCTAATGCAACTCTGCTGCTGATCTATTTATATACAGTGCAGGAATAAGCTTTGAGTTATAGCTTTTCTCAAAGTGGATCCATAAAGCCACAAGGGTTGTGGCCCCAGGAAACATGTGGGGAAGGCCATTAGATTCACTTGCAATCATGAGCATGTCCCCATTGGAATAACTAACAATATGTTTTTGTTTAGGAAGGAAGACTCATCCTGACAGGTTTGAACAAAAAAGGTAAGAGTTGGAACAATTTCATTGGGAAGATAAGCATCTCTTTTTGTTGTTCTTCTCACATCTCAGTTTCCCCACATTTCCCTATCATTACCGAATTGGCTTCAATGCTCTTTCTTTACCAATCCAAAGTTGGAGAACAAGTCCCTGTCATCCCCCCAGTCTAGGTTCCAAAATCCCAAATAAGCAAAAGGGGAAATCAAACCCAGGAAAAAAGGGCAAGATTGGAGACTGGGACTTTTCGCCAGTGGATGCTTACCATACTAAATAGGTGTCATCATCTCTCTTTACCAAACAGGCCTCAATGCCAAAAACCAATGTGTCACTACGCCAGATAAATTTCGACGAATCAAGTATTCAACTAGATTGTTATATCCGCTTGATTAAGACTGTGTGATTCGCAATCTGATCAGTTCAACCATCTGCACAACTGGGTTTTCAACAAAACTGCTAGAAACCAAAATGCAGTTGGGGTCCAAATGCTGGCTGTTATGTGATAGATTTGGAGTTTGGTTTAAAACCCTTTCTTTTCCTATAAAGGAAAAGAGAAAAAGTATTGTGGAGGCTGCTAAGTGTACACTTTGGTACAATCCCGGTGGCTGGCTGAAGCCCCAAAGCTGGCCGTCGTCAGGCAGGGATTTGGAATATTGGAATGAAAGGCGGCATTTTGTGACTTGGCAGCTAAGGAAGCAAGCATAAGCTTGGTGATAATGAGTGGGTTGGGTGGATGGATGGACGGACGGACGAGGCTTAAACTAAGGCAACGTAACCCTAAATAAAGGGCCATCAAAAGTAGAGATGTCGGGAGAGGGAGGAATAGCGGCTTGCTTGGCTTCCATCCTTATAAAAATAAAACACACCCCCAAGCAAGCAAGCAAGTTAGAGGAGTTGCTTTATCTCAAGAAGTGTTCATTTTTGGCCCTTTTGCTTTAGGAATGCCAAGCTCTTGTATCCATACACAAATCCAACTAACCAACCAAAAATCAGTGGCTTGGTTCCTTGTGCTATAATGGGGTTTCGTTTTTCTTTATGCCTTTTTTTTTTTTTTGCCCCCTTGGTTAGTTGCCTATCTCACTTTCTATTCCATTCCATTCCATCCCATCCCATTCAAAGTTGTAAAAGAAGGAGCATTACACCAACTAGTGATGTGTGTTAGTATTTATATGTGTTTGTTTTCTAGGGATTCTAAAAAAACGATGAACATATCGAGTAAGAGAATTTATGTTAGTCTTTTACAATATTCGTAGCTAGCTAGCTTGCTTTGCACAAGCTTTTCTATCAATGGTGACATATCGATTGAGTGGTAACCCTTTCGATGCTGTTGATAGATTGGCGGTTGCAGGGCTGGGATGAAGCTTTGGAGCAGTTGATGGCATATCTGGAAGTGACTAACAACCAGATGAAGCAACTTGCAAGTTTGGGTTATAAGGATGTGGAGTTTGAGCTATAAGACCTGCTTTTTACTGTATTGTATACGCATGTGCGGTCGTCAATATTTAGGAGGTCAAACCAGGACTTAGTTGCTTGAAATTTTTTGAACCATACAAAATTTTGAAAGATGTTAGGTAAGGTTGCTTATAATATGGATTTACCAAAGGGAGCTCGAATTCGTCTCAACCTTGCAAGTACTTAGAGAATGTATCATATAGATATAAGATATCTAGCAATGCATATCCAATAAATATGGCAACACAATTTCAATTTAATAAAAAAAGATGTTTTCGCATCTCATGTCATGGCTACAAAGCAATCACAAAAAATTTCTGTGATTCACAGAGCTATATTCTATGGCTTGTGGCAACCTACAGCCATCTTGCCTTCCATATACGTATTGACAATCAGTCAACCCGCTCGCGTACGTGGCAAAAACAATCGTTTCTCATCCTTGCGGACCTGAAAACGACGACGTGCTGTACCGACTCCTGGAGCTCTCATATCCTGACATCACTTCACTCACTGGTTGAACCGAGAAGCTGGTTTTAAATTGCGACCCGACCGGGCTATCGCCGGCGGCAGGGGCAGAGAAGTACAAGCCCGCCATTTTCTCATCGGCGAGCTCCCTCAACTTGCAGAGCTCCGGCAGCACGACGTCCTTCAGATCCGGCCGATCCTTCCGCCTCAATTCCGCGCATTGGATCCCCAATTTCGCCACTTTCAAAGCCTCCTCCACAGGCCAATCGGGCACATCCGGGTCGAGAATGTCGGCGAAATTCCCCTTCTCAATCGCCCGCTGGACGTAGTGAGTCAGCCCCATCGGCGGCTTGGCCGTGATCAGCTGCAGGAGGATGATTCCGAACGAATATATGTCCGATTTCGTCCCGAGCATCCCGGTCTGCTGATACTCCGGGTCGATGTAGCAGAACGTCCCTGCAGTCTGTGTCATCCTGTACTGCGTGATGCTGTTAGCCACCGTCGGCGGGACCAGCCTCGCCAGCCCGACGTCGCTGATCTTGCTGACGAAGTTTCGATCGATGAGAATGTTCCCCGGCTTCAAATCACGGTGCACCAAGGGCTCGGGTTTGGTCTGGTGGAGGAAATGTAACCCCGTGGCGATCTCCGCCGCGATTTTAAACCTCAGCTGCCATGACAGAGCAGGCGTGTTCCCTCGCCGGAGCAGCCTGTCTTCCAAGCTGCCGTTCGCCATGTACTCGTAGACCAAGCAGCCGTACTCCGAGCAAGCGCCGATCAAGAGGACCATATTGGGGTGTCGGATTCGAGACAGGACGTCGACTTCCTGCTGGAATTGGGCCCTGCCCTGGGCCGCGTCGGGCCGGAGGGCCTTGATCGCCACCGGCGTGTGGTCCAGGTTGCAGCGGTAGACTGGGCCGTATCCCCCTTCGCCGATCTTGAGGGAGCTGGAGAAATCATTGGTCGCTTCTTCAATCTCTTCGATTGAGTATTGGCGGCAGCAGAGGTCGCCGTAAGGCAGGGACTCTGTTTTTTTCTCCAAGTTTTTCCGCTTCAGGGCTTCCTTCTCGGCAAGCTTCTGAGCTGATTCAGCTGCCTCCAGGGCCGCCTTGCGTTTGGCTTTCTCCTCTTCTATGGCGGCAAATATCGCTTCCTCTGCCGATTTTGCTGTCTCTAGCTTCTGCTCCTTCTCCATCTTCCATCTCTGAAGCTCCCTTGCCTGTTAACAGAAATCAATCAAGTTCAGACACCGGTATTACATTTTAAGCATTTATATTTTATAGTTACTCTGTTATTTTTATACACCTTAGATTTAGCAGTAAGCGCCTCTTTGCAAGCATTGTTGTACATCTCCATTGTTTGCTTGAGCTCCAGCTTCAGCCTCCTCACTTCCGACTCTACATCCTCCTGTTTTCATCAACGAATCAAGCAATGCAAACTCGGGAATTCGAACTTTTTGGAAAACGCCATTAATCACAACTCAGACTCACCACGCCCTGGGAAGCAGAGGAATTCCTGACGCTATCGATGTCAGACGCCGAGAACTCACTGAGCGAGCCGAAATCCATAGACGTATTCGGTGTGTAGGACGACGCCACGCTTATGCTGTCGGATTGGGAAGCCGTGGAGGACCTGGCGCTCACGCCGAACTCGCTGCTGTCGCCATAGGAAGGGAACAGGATTCTCTCCGCGTTGCTCATCCTTGCGCCGCTGACAAAGGAAATGTCCATGTCCGCCACGCTCGAAGCTCTTCCTCTACCCGTCGACCTGCTTCTGTTTTTTTTTTTAATTTTCCCGCCACCACACAGAACGGTTCTTACTTGATGAGAACAAAGGTTATCGAATTCAACAACACCAAGTTCAAGAAAAAGCAATCCAATCCAAACTCTTACCTAAAAGATTCGTCGTCGATCATGCTTTCTGGTGGTGAATAGTCTGCACAAAATGACATTGTCATCAGGATTCTTCGCTCTAATTTGTAAGAAATTGAAACATTATCAGGACAGGGGAACCTACCTCGTCGACGGGACCTGGAGCCATCAACGGGAAGGTTGGATCTGGAAGGCGGAGGAGCGGTGGCGTTTCTGATGGATTGGATCTTCCCCTTCCCGATTACGTACACCGTGCAGTAATCGGGGATCGTTTTCATAACAGTGCTGGGCACATCCGTGAGCTTGAATCGCTTGACGATTCCGCCGCGAGATGGTGTCCCGAGGACAAGCGCCTCAATGGAATTGGCAACGCAGTAGGTGTTGATTGCCTTTGGTATGTCTGCGTCCTCCATAAGTACCTCAATCGTTTTCACCTATGTTCACATCAAAGAATGTAGTTAAACGAAGATACACATTCAATTAACAGAGTTCTTGTAAGTGGAAGGGATCGAATTCGAACCTCTTTGCGGGAGCAGAAGCAGCGGAATGGAAGGAAGAGCTCCTTGGTTGCATTATCGAATTGGGACTGCTTCTTGCCACCGTCGTCTTTTGGATCGGAGTTGGAACCAGGGGTTCCTCCGACTCCCCCTAGCGACAAAGTTGAAATCAACGGAATTCAGAATCCGGGAAATGATGAAATGAAATGAGAATTGTATTGAAGGAAGGAAACAGAGATCTGATCGGATGTACTTTGCCTGACATGAAGAAGAACGATGGAATCCCCTCTGTTGGCCAAATGCTCCACCGCCCATTTCAGGGCGTACTGGCTGCCTTTGTCCTTGTCGACGGCGACGGCCAACGTTTGCTCGCTTTTCCTGTCCGGGGAATTCCTCCTGTTGTTGGTGGTGGCCGCTGCCATCCCGGTACGGGAAGTTTTTTTCCGGCGAAAAAAATGTTCCCCTGGGAAATGGAGAGCGGCCACCTGATGCTACGGAGGAAACGTCGTCAGGAATTTGTGATTAACCTGGGAGACGAACGGGTTTCTTCTGGTGGCCATGGTGGTTTGTTATATAACCGCGGTTACAGGAATGCATGCAGAAATTAACGACTGTGAAAAATTGAGAGAAGACAAAAGAAAGAAATTACGTGTATGTCTGAAACTCGTTGGTTTCAGATTTTAATTAATTGAAAGGTAAAATTTTCGTTATAGTACACTTCAAAATTCATCACATTAACCATAAAAAAAAAATTCTATCACATTGGTGCAATTGTATTTGAAATCAAACGAATATCAATAAAAACCAATAATAAAATATTTTTTTTGGCAGGTAAATAATATAATCTATCTTAGAGCATCTCCATTGGTGCAATCACATTTTTTTTTATTGTTACTTCATTTTTTTCAATCCAACTTATCTTACTTGCATTGCAACACATCAATGCAATTAACTTGCAATTGCAACTAATTTTTTTGATTTAATTTATTAAAACATAAACACTCAAATAATAAAATTAATGAATAATTTAATAATAAAAAAAAATGATGTGGCTTGCATTCAATAATTGCAATAAAGCATCTCCATCAATACAATTGCAAAAGAAATTGCATTTGTATTTTTTATTGTCAACTCAAATTTTTTGCAATCCACATCAATATCAATAGTTATTACTTGTTCGACTAGGGATACTAATAAGTTGAACGAATTTTAAGCTAAAATATACTAACTCAATAGTCAGTCTGCTATATAATTACAGATGAATCGTGCTGGTGATTGAAGATGTTAGAATAGTTAGCCAATTTCGATGGATGAAGAAAATTGTATAGTAATATTCCCTTAATTTTTTAGGACATCCAATAAATGTACATTTTATAAATAGATCCGAACTTTGTCGAAATGATGTATTTCGTATAGACACCACTTTCCAGACCCGGGTAAAAAAATTGTGAAGCTTTCGATTTATTTCATATGCTCTCGTCTGAGCAAATATCGGATAGAACTTGATTAAGTACAACCATACACAACAATTTCAAGAACATTTGGAAAATGTTTCTGTTTTCTCCTTGTGCCACAAATCGTAACCTCTTTCTCAAGTACATATCTTAGTTCCGCTACAAAGGCAAGAACTAGCAACATTAACCATCAAAGTGAGGAAGTTACTAAAGGAACTAATCTAATTTTATCAGATGTAGTTATGTAAGAATATTTGGACAGTTCTAGTCAGTAACCCATTAGGAAGTCACAGCAGAGAGGTATAACAACACAATTACTATAATCGCCAGTCCCCCTGAATTCGCAACATTACTAGCATAGAATCTTCTGTCAAGCATCCCTATCTAGTTAAAGCACAGCATCAGATCTACAAGGTAACATGCAGAGGAAGAAGAAACGCAAGGAAAGGAAGTAAAAACAATAAAAGAAAGATGCAGAACTGAAGGAGGAAGACATATATTCGTCACCGATGTTAGCCCTCAAAGCTCGGGTTTAACCTTCACGTCTCCATTTGGCAATGAACTTTGTGCTTGGGCAAGGCGTTTCGATTCCTGCAACATGCCATGGAACATGAGCTTTTCTGCTTCTAGTAGCACGGATGAAAAGACACTCAGAAATGAGAATGAAGTAGCTAGCTCGAGCATCTAGACACTCATTCTACATGTAAATCCAATTTCCAGCCAGCATAACAGGGCTACAGAGGCTTCCTAATTATATGGGGCCTAATGGCGCAGAGCCCTACTGCAAAACAAAATTTCTTCAACTGTGCGAAATATACACTCATAGTTAAAGCGCACGTCCTCATATATAATCAATGATACCACAATGACATACAATTAGACAAAGGTATAGCATGGAGTGGCACAACCTTATTGATGATGTACATCGTATCCTACAAGTTACTGTAAAACTGAAAGCTCTCTGGGGAAAAGAAAAAAAAAAAGTGGAAATGAACTTACAGCAGCAGAAATAGCACGTATTTCCCTGTACGATTCAACTTCATCAGGAAAAGCCTGCTCTAGTTCTTCCAGGAGATTCTTACGTAGAGCCTGTCAATGTAAACAAGTTGTATGAATCTATAACCAATCCAGACAAACTCTTCATAGCATCAACCATATAACTCACATAAAATGTGCAGTGGAAAAGATGGACATATCAATTAGTACCTTAAAGCCATCTGTTTTCCCCTTGGTAACCTGGTTTTTGGCGATGCAGCTGTTTATGACATCTCGTGTGAATTCATCTGGATTTTTCCCATCATCAATCAAACTAACAAGAAAAGAAGATACAATAACTTCATATTAGGTACGAATGAATGAGAGCTCCTGCATGGATGCACTAAAACGACATAATTGACAGAGGGACATACTTAATAACCTCCATGGGAACTTGTATATTGCACTTCTCAGCCAATTTATCCATATTATCTAGCTCGGTGATGAGGCCATTACTGCGAAATTCAGACTCTGATGTCAAACAAGTTGCTCAATAGCGCCCAAAAAACAGACTATCTAGTATATAACACCAAACGGAAAGCAAACGAAGGTTAGGATACAGTACAGCCGCTGGAGTAGAGGAGCCTGTGAAGCAGCACTGAAGGAGGACACAGTGAGGTAAAGCTGGTGGATGAGGCCAAGATTCTTCTGGATGGAGTTGATAACTTGGTTTAGATTCTCCTTTGGGTCATTGGCTGATGCATTTGCTGTAGCAATATCATTCGCCTGAGCAGGTAATGCGCCATTACCACCATTTCCTCCGGTCATGTTCTGTGATGAATCCATCTTTCTAGTTTGCGTTTGACACCCACTGAAGAAGACAAACCATATAATCAAAATCCAAGCTTTCAAACAATTGGGATTACTTCGTAATTTACAGATAAAATCCATGCTTTCAAACTAAGTAGATCGATAGAAGAAGCCTAATTCAGTAACTTTCTTGTAAAGCAATGACCTCAGATGCTACGGAAGATGATGAATTGACCATATATGGATCCTTAAACCTGGCTAGAAAGCAATTAGATATCTGTTAAGATTTTTTACCTGGCAACGGAGATTCGATTGAGAAGTAGTTTAGCAGCTCTTCACGTCTTTCCCCAGCGGCTGCCCTAGTTATTATACTCGGAAGAGAAGCGAGACATGAAGGCGCGAATTGAAAGAATTCCCTCTATCTCCGTCGCCGGATGTCAAATGACTAGTAAGAGAGAAGAAAGAGGGAAATTTTGCTCCGTTGACAGTGGCGGGATTCAGGAGAACAGCAATCAAATTGGCAGAAGCGAATTACGCCGCCGATGGAAGAAACGGAGGAAGATGACTGGGAGCCTATCAGACCGCCGTGACGTAGTCTTCCCACACTTCCGGTGGGCGCTGCTGTTTCCCCAACTTCCTCTCTATGAGGCGCTAGTCGAACGGCAAGATAAGCGAAGAACGATTCGAGTAGAAAGGTAGTTGATCGGAGAGAAGAAACGCCCTTAATCAGTTAATCTCCTTAGGGGAAGAAGGCCGAGATACTTCTATTGGGCTTTAGGCCCAGGCCTACACTTCTGAAGGATCCATTACAAAATTCGAACCATCAAGAAAATATAAATTCTTGGATTTTGCTACGGTGACATGCATGTCACCGTGACATGGACTTTTCGGTCGACCTAATCCAACAAGTGGTCGACCGGACTGACTAATTCATGTATGTGAGGTTCCGAGACGCGGTCGATCTCTTACATAATATGGTCGTCCTCTTTGGTGGACTAACAGAATGAAAGGTCGACCCAAATACCTCATAGGGCGACCATTGTGCACCTAACAGGTCGACCGCATTAGAAAGCGGTCGGCCGCATTCACACCGTATCCGTATTGGATAAGGATTCCAACACCAGAAAGGTTCCACAATTGGACAAGGAAACGAATTGGGTCGACCCATTCATGTCCTAAATCTCTATAAATACGAATATAAGTCCCCTTCAACGCCACCAAGTCTGAATTAGTTTTTTTTTCCCCGATTGAGAGCCTTTGTGAAGAAGATCGTTCGCGGTTGCTGTTGTACGTGTTGGAAGTGGTCGACCAGGTCGAAGGTGAGGTCGACCTAATGTAGCATTCACCGTCATCTTTTGTAATGCGTGATTTCCACCGTCTAATTTGATATATTGTTGCGTGCAGAATTCCATTCGGTCGATCGTGACATCAACCAGGTCGACCTGACGAGACAATTCTTCGTATTTGAATTTAGGGCACAACACTTGGACTTCTGTACTTGCGAGGTAACGAAGATCAACCCAAGTGGTCGACCTAATGTGTTTCAAGGTCGACCATTTCTGTTTGTTTTGGTTATTCAACCTGAATGTCGAATTTGTCTTTGTTTGTATGACTATGTTGTGCTTGAAAAGGTCGACCGCGCCAGATATCTGGTCGACCTATCCTTTTTTCGTTTTAATTTTGAACTTACTTTTCGTTGTTAATTGTTATTTTTCCTACTGGATAGGTCGACCTAGGAAGAACAGAGGTCGACCTTAATGGTTGTGGTAGTCACTATTTGTCTTCCAGGTCGACCTAATACTTTGTCAGGTCGACCACGTCTTTGTTTTTTGGTCAATTGTAGAAATTTGTAGTTGAATTATGATTTGAATTTTTCTTTAAATTGTTTAGACGATGATGCATGATGAGAGATTGCATCAAGATTTGGGTGAAATCATGAAATTGTTGAAAGCCACACAAGAGAAGCTGGTGGTGTGTCAAACACAAGTCAATGACTTTCAGAAGTCCATGCGTGATAGAGTGGAGCAATTGTCAGTTCAACTGACAGATATGACTGGGATGATGCATGACGGGTTTGAGAGGCTAGAAGGTGCTATCAAAGATATAAGTGCAGAACGAATGGAGAATGGTGGAAGAGATGGTAAAGGAAAGAAATTTGACTTTGGTAAAGATGAGGAAGACCATGATGACTCTGAAAATTGCTACCAGAGCATAGACGATTTATTGAAAGAGCACATTTTAAAGGTATCCAAGTATATTCATATGTGATTGAAGATATTAGTATTACCATCATTAGTGCTAATTTGTTTTGTTTATATGTTTGACAGAGTGAAACAACGAATGACAGCAAGGGTTCCTCTCCTAAGTACAAGAGACCGCGATATGAAAGTGACTCCTACACCACTCCACAGAAGGATCAATTTGTAAGAAAAGGATTATTTAGTGCTGATAGCGATGAAGATGAATCTAAGAGTCCTTTCGAAAAGCACGGGGTAAGTTTACGTTACATATTCATCTATAATGTGTGTTTGTGTTCATATGTTACTTTAATTTTAACTATGATTTGTAGGTCATGAAAGTGGAGGGTCTAGAAGGATTCACCAAAAATCTTCAAAATCCAGTTGAAGACTTGTATTATGTTGTTACTAAAGAGAAGGCTGGGGACACGAATTGGGACAAGTAGGACGTTTTTTAGTACTGTGGTCGACCGTTTAGGTCATGAGGTCGACCGTTTGTCCAATAAGGTCGACCGTGACTGTGAACAGGTCGACCTGTACGTTGCAAATCAAAATTGACATTTCTGTTATTTTGATTTTTTCAGTTTGACCGTTGTGGACTTTTTTTCTGAAAACGTGCAACGACTTTATTTGAGTTCGGTCATTAGCGAAAATAACTGGGTTTGCTCATCAGTAAGTACTATACTACTACGACTTTCGTATGAATTATGCACTATTTATGTTACGATTTACGATGATTTTGTGTTTGATTGTTGGATGGTAGGTAGTGGATTTGTGTGCAAGGGCACTAACAATGTCTGAAAAACATGATGTGAAAGAGCCAAATGTGTGGTATTTGCCAAATATGTTTTCGGTAAGAGCCGTAATGTCAAATTATTTGTCATAACCTAGTTATTTATATTGTACCATGTCAATTCATCTCAATTAAAACATGGTGCAGAAAATGGTACGCGCTAACATGAAGACTAGACAAATTCGTAACAAGTTGATGAATGATGGCGTGATGTTTATGCCGAATGTTAGTGCATGCCAGAAGGTTAGTCTAGTCAATGTCCCTATATCATTAAATTTCGAAAGTGCATTTGTTTGTATTCGCTGTTTATAACATATAGTGAGTGTTTCGTTGCTAGATATTTATGCCAGTTGTTGACGATGAAGCAAATCATTGGTTTCTGTATCTCGTCAATGTCCAGCAAAAAACTGCATTTTTGCTTGACAGTCTACCTTCAACTAGTGAGGCGAATCGTAGGCGTAAATCAACACTATGCAAGAAATTGGTAAGTGTTTCCTATAATTTTCTGACTGTTAAGCGTCACGTATTATGCTAGAAGTTTAAAATATTCGTTATTTGTGTGTAGTTGTCCAATTTGGATGATATTTTCAAACCGGAGCGCATGAGCAATGTAGTAGTACCAAATTTTGGAGATTTCGATTTTGATGAGCTACGAGTTCAACGGCAAAGGAATAGTACTGAGTGTGGTGTGCACGTCATGCAGTGGATGTGCTATGGATCCAAGGATCTGGATAGAGTGATGAGTATATCGTCAAACAAATAACTTGTTTAATTTACACTTTTTTTAGTTGTAACGAAGTCTTACATGGCATAATGCAGATAGGAGAAGAAAACAAATTGCCGGCTCGAAAGGAGATTCTATGGTATCTGGCTACACATTTTGAAAACCGTGCACGAGAAAATCTTTTCAAGCATGTAGTAGATGAATGCATGGAAAGAGGCAAAGAGAAACAGAGTTCAAACAAAAAAGCAAAGAAATGAAGTCGTTAAGTTACAATGTTGCATTATTTGGACAATACATTGAATTTGTATTTGCGAGATCGTTTCATTTTGGATTTTGAATGTTTATCGTTTATTAGATTTGTTATACAATTAAGGATGTGACTGAATGTACGATTTCAATCGTCTAGAACAAGTGGTCGACCACATACTCAAAGCTGGCAAACCCAAAGGCAGAGCACAGGTCGACCTCGTGACGCTTAAGGTCGACCTATGATACCGTAGCAAAGTCAAAAACCATGTGGAATAAGAATAGAATCTCGTCTGTTTGGCCTTAATAAAATACGGTCGACCATTTCAGTAAAGAGGTCGACCTGTTTCACATTTATAAACAACGGTCGACCATTTGTGTAAAGAGGTCGACCTGTTTCACATTTACCCAAGACGGTCGACCATTTGTGCAAAGCGGTCGACCGTAATGATACATGTCCTTGTACAATTAGGATTTTGTGTACTTGTCCTAGTCGAATTATGATTTTATATATCTTTCACCAATTGGATAAGGAATTCGTCTACATTATCTATAAATAGATTGGAGTCTTAAGACTTTATTCGTACTTCGATTTATGCAATTTGTTGGAGTGAAGTTGTAATCTCATCGCTCTTATTGTGATCGGGTGTTGGTGGCGGTTTATTTTTATTCCGGTAGACCGTAACAATAAGTGGTCGACCTCTTTGCTAAGGTATGTCTCGTATGTGATTGTTAATGGTTGTATGTGGTTAAATTTTTCCCTAATTAGGTCGACCACCCCCACCATCCGGTCGACCGTATTTGTGTAATTATATGATTAGGTCGACCTTACAGTAAATTCAGGTCGACCTCATCTTTGTTATTCAGTAATAAGGTCGACCGTACAGTTCATTCAGGTCGACCTGACGAGAGCTAATTGTGGATGTTTTTTACATTAAATTCGTATTCCGATCGTTGCATGATGGATAACAAAGATGATACAGATGATAGAGATGATGATGAGGTTAACTTCGATGAGGAACCTAAGGATGCTCGAGAAGGAGCTATGGATAATTCAGATGATACAGATAATACGGATGATGAAGTGGTTGGGGATGATAATGAAACCGAGGGTGCTGAAGAAGAATTTATGGATGATGAAGAAGCTACTGAATATGAACAACAAATTCCTTCCATGGAGTTCCAAACATTAGAAGATGCAGAGAAATTTTACGATTCCTATGCTAAAGCGAAGGATTTAGCGTTCGACGTAGAGATCTTCGGAGGAGTCGTCGAGGAGTAGCAATTGGGAGGATAATGGTATGTTCGAGAGAGGGGACTAGAGAGAAGATGCATATAGATAAAGAAGGTCGGACTCGACATCATCGTAAGATGACAAGACATTCTTGCAAGGCATCGTATACTGTACGCTTTGATCGGAATAAGAAAATGTGGGTTGTTTCTAAGTTTGAGAGGAAGCACTCACATCGTTGCTGCAATGAAGAAGAAACTCAATTCCTTCGGGGGTCGTTTGGATTAGGGAATGTGTAAATGAGGGATTTGGATTAAAATCTCTCAATTAAAAACCCAGGTATTTTAAACGTGGGATTTGATCCAAATAACATGTTTGGGAATATATGAAGGATTTTAATTAAAAATTAAAGTTACAATTATACCCATCCCTAATCCCTAAGGAAGAATAAGAAAGGAAGAACAAAAGGAGGGGCAGAGTTTGGAAAAGAATGAGAAAAAATGAGTGATTGTGAAATAGCTGATCCCCA